TTCTATTGTTTTAAAAGTATATTATAGCGTTAAGCCTATTGAGAGAATTTTTTCTTCTATTTTTCAACAATCTCTAAATCTTTCATAAGATTGCATTCAGAAAAGTAACCTCATTTCAAAACATCCACCTCAGAGAAGGCTGGACTGAAGAAGAGTGCTTTGCTGAATGTTGGCCATTGATGAGTATGCTTCAACTCAGGGGAAATGTATTTTGGGTATGAATGCAATACTTATTCATCCTAGAAAGATACCTAAATACATAAATAAGAAAATGAAAACTACCAAGAATTCCATTATCCAGGAATGATCACTGATGCTTAAGCATGTTACTTCCATTCTTTCTCTGACTTCATAAGATGCTGTTCCTTGAACAGAACTGGGGTTCGGCTGTTTAGAATCATCATGACTTCCTTTCCACCTCTCTTTCTTCTGCTGTCACACTGCTGACAGAGTTGGGATAATTTGTTCACAACATATTTAAGTGCTTGGCCCCAGGACATCAGAGACAGGGTTCTCTGCACACTGGACAGAGAAAACTTAGTGGAGAACTGTTAGGATAGTCGGCATCCATTTCCGCATAGCCTGACAAGAGTAACTAGCATTTCTTGAGGGGAATTGACCACACAGAAGCTCTATGATTTGGGTGGGACAGTCCCCTCCTTAGCCCAAGGGGTGCTAAGTCACCAAAGCATAAACCAATCAGGCCACTCAACTCCAACAGGTTGAATGATGACTTGTTTCCATCCACCGAATATCAACTCCAGGACTTGAGTTCAGAATTGTGGGGTAAGAGAAGCTTGTATTTTCTCTGTCACAGAATATTTCTATTTAAAGAGGGAATCTAAATGTCCCAAAAATATGAGGCTGCAGTGCTGGTACGATAAGGAATGGAGTGACCATTTGGCGTATTGAGGTTAGTCCAGGAATACCTGAACCTCAGGCAAGTTCAGCCTCTAACTCACCACCCAGCAGACCCCTCACCATAGCCCTTAGCACCCCGTCCTCTACCCACAGGTTCTCCGTCTATTCCAGCAAACCTTCAGCTTCTGAACGGCAAGGCCATTCACTCATACCACTAAACATAGATTGCTAAATAATTATTCATGATTTCATCACAAAGGAAAACCAGCCAGGAAACATGAAATGGAAACATTCTTGATTTAATCACTGAGGGATTTCTGGGGTTCCAGACCCTCTGCTGGCTGTAGCCACGACCTTCACTTCCTTATTCCTTCTTCCAGCTTTTGCCATGTGGCTGAGCAGTCTGAGTAAAAACATGGTGATAGTGCCATTCTCACCTAACCAAACCAGGGAACTTCCACAAACCACCTTGTATGATGACTTCCAGGAAAACTAAAGGAACACGTGTTGAGAAGGTGTGTGTGTCAGTGAGCAATACTTCCTGTGATCCCTTCAGGGTCTATGTGTCTGGAAAGAACACACCAGCGGCTCTGACCTGGGCAGACCTTCAGGGAAGATGCATCCACTCCTGCTCTTGTTGGCCTTGCTTCTTCTGCCCACTGGGGCCAGGAGGGGTGAGTGACCGTCCCATTCCTGGGGCCTGAGCCCATCTCCTAAAACCCCCTGTACTCCTGGCCTTTTAATCAAACCCAAGCAGGGATTGTCCTCCGTTTGAACCCAGTAGCTTTCTGAACCCCAGCTCCCAACCCAACTCCAGACCAATAAGTCCCATGTAGATAGCTACTCAAAAGGATGGCCGGGAAGAAGCATTAAACTATAAGGTCTTAGCCTCTCTCTCATCACCTGGAAAGGACGTTGTTCATAGAAAGGTATTTGGAAAAGGATGTGAAGCTACAACAGACAAGTAGTTAAAATCCTTCATTCCAACCCAGATTGGGCCCCTCAGACAAACCGTGTGCAGTAGTGAGAGTTGTCTTGGACCAGCTTAAGAACCAGTTTAGTTCTCAGTGCCCTCCACCCTCCTGTCCTCCCAGGAGAGAAGCCCAGGGTGCAAGCGATCTCAGCACTGGCTAGATGACTGCACACAAATTTTGCTGGGTGTCTTGGCTCTGCCCCAGGCCTGGGCAACCATTTGAATCCCCACACTCGCCTGATTTCTCAGGCCCTTGGCCTCTCCACTGCTTTTGGCAGTGCCCTCTTCCCATCCTGTGGCTTTGAATCTCACCAGCCTTGTCCCCATCAATCCTCAGCCAAAACCTAATAGGAGGCCATTAATTGATGCAGTCAAAAAATGCCTACTGAGGCCCGGCCGAGTGGCGCGATGGTTAAGAGCTGGCTTGGGA